AGAAACAATGGAGAAACAAAAATGGTGGATGTATTTAGCTTAGAGGGAATAGAGTTTACACTAATAGCAATGGAATAATTTGGAAAAGGATAATGACAATGGTTGAACAACTTGAATGTAATCAATGTCATCAAACTATATATGTAGAAATTATTGAACGGCATATGTTTTGTTGTGCATATTCTCACCACAATAAAATAAAGTGGATGTAAAAAAAAAAAAAATACTGCCAAGACAAGTAGCGACTGGGATCTTAAAAGCTAGCAAGCTGCCATCTAGATGCAATGATGGGTCTCTCCTCGTCCAGAGCAAAGAAGAATGAAGAAAACCAAAATTCATGGAAACAATTAGTCCTAGCGAATGCTACCAGCCGATCTGCAGCCTATACAACTATGAGACCAGAAGAACTAGATGGTGCCTGTCATCCACTTGGAAGGGGATCTATGTAGATCTCTGATGGAGAGGGAGAACAATGTGGAACAAAACTCAAAATCATTTGGAGAAAAAAAAAAAAGTGTGTGTGGGGGGAGGACCAGGTTTGCTGGTCTGATAGAGCCTGGTGGAACCACTGAAACTATGGCCCCTAGCTGCCCTTCAGGTCTGGAATTGAACCCACACCTGTGGTTTCCAGTCAAACAAAATACAAGCATATGAGTTAAACATTTACTTCAAGCAGATAAACTCCTTGGAGAGAACAATCATGGGAGAAAGAAGGGGTGCTTATGCACAGGGAGACAGCTCAGGGGGCAGGAGTGTATGGAGGGATGGACACTGGAAGAGCTAACTATGGGGAGGAAGTGGGAGGGGAGCTGTTGCATTGTGGTAAACTGTGGTCAATGACATCAGACAAAGTATATGTGAACTGCTGTATGGAAAGTGAATTTGCTCTGTAAATCTTCACCCAAATCATACACACACACACACACACACACACACGAAGAATACAGCCAAAAGAACCCTATGGAGCAGTTACATCCTGTAACATATGGGGTCACTGTGAGTTGGATTGACGCAGCAGCACCCAGCAACATGGAATCTTCAAAAAAGCACCATTTCCTTCTCTTGTCAAGACACGGTGGCATCTTATCAAGCATGGAGCAGTGCAAATGGGATTCAAGTCCACAGGACGGATGCAGAGCAAGCAGTGCAGTGGAACAGTGCGTTCCTGAGAAATTTCAAGCAGCACTGACAGAACCGCGCCTGTATCCATCTTGTGAGTGAAGCTTTGATTTAGCCGGTACAGTAAATACTGCTACTCACTGTGTTCATGTTGGGAGAAGTATGGGACCTTGTGATAAAAAAGGTTACCATAGCAGGGCTGAGGCTTCCATTTTTATAAGGGCCTGTTTGCACACTGGCCACCAGCTGGAGTCTGGGAACTTGGCTTGTGGGTCAGGGTGGCTCACTGTGTCTCAACTGTGCGAGCAAACTGTGTGATTGACACTGAACACCAACTTTGCTTCTGGGAGTCTGGAAATTTGGTACATTCTAGGCAGTCTGGTGGCTCAATGACCAGCAATGAATAAAAACTCTGGGTGCTGAGTCTCTGAGGGGCCTCTCGGGGCATAAACATCGCACACTTGCTACTGCATTTTGGTGGTCAGGGGCAGACAGTGTCGTCTGGGACCCCTCTCAAGAGGGAAGGGGCATAAGGAAGCATTTATGTGGATTCCTCCAGACTTGCCTGTTTTAACCTTCATGACCCAGCTGTGCATCCTAACTACATTACTGTCCTCAATCTTAGGTGAGAGTACAAATATACGCTGACTACCACAGATGCTTCTTGTCAGTCTCCCGATAAGGCCTTGGGGGTCTCCAAAAGTTCTCCTTCTAGTTGTACCAAAAATATTTCCTGAAGTCTTCTTAGAACCAAACAGCTTAGCTTAACTCCCAAATAATGCCTGCCTTGAGCATTGTGGAGCTCTGGTGGCATAGTGCCTGAGGCATCTGACTGCTAACCAGCAGGCTGGTGGTTCCACCACCAGGTGCTTCATAGAAGGAAGATGGGGCACTCTACTTCTGTAAACATTTACCACCTCAGAAACCCAGTGGGGGCTGCTATGAGTCAGAATGAACTCAATGGCAGTGGGTTTGGTTTTGAGCATATATGTGTTTCTAGGACCTATCCATACAGAGTCCAATTGACAACAGCAACTCGAACGATCAGACAAAAACCTTGGGATCACGTAGTCTTCGAAGGTGGGCCCAGGAGCCTGTAATCCTAAAGCCTTCTCTTGGGTGTTCCTTATACACATTCCAGTTTGGAACCGCTGGCCTGTGGGTACAAGGTTCATTTAGGGCCAAAGTCTCAGGTTGCTATTTCAAACGAGTCCCCTTTTGGGCCCATAGGAATCAGCCATATTCAAAGAATCTATTCTTGTTCTTAACATTGTCCCCAGAGCGCTGTGGCCTTATTTTACATCTGAAATCTTGCCTAGACTCTTGTAGGATAAAATAGCATTTAAAATATTCGGTTCCCTCGAATATCTGTTTTCTTTGGGATCAGTTTTTGTTATCTTGGGCTTCACCATATTGGAAACATTCCAGTCTTTTGCTCCTTGGCATGCATCCATAATGAAAAAGAGGCTGTCACAAAGGTGGTGGGAAGCTCTATAGATGGGCAAAGCTGGTTTAACAGCACACTTAGCTTTCGGGTGAAGAAGGCAGAACCAGCTATTAGGATGAAGGCTCCAATATGTCAGATCGAGGCAGCTTTTGCTCTGGTGCACAATACTCACACCAGGGTCTCTTGTACTCCACACCATGGTGATTTCACGTTTTAAAAGCACACAATCCCTGCCCCAGCTTTTCTTCTTTGCTTAACCATAGCCAGATAGCATCAGACGAGAGGGCAGGCACTCAAGAGTTCCATGAACAGACCTTCCATTAACTCCACTTTCCCACCCCACCTGTTAGTCTACAGCTCTGTCGGTGGGACCAGGACCTTCCTCTGCAGCCCTCTCTGCACACATTCCCAGCATTGGTCCTTCCCACACACACCTTCAGGTATTGCTCTCCCAACTACATGGGAGGACCAGGACTTCCTGCTGCAGCCCTCTCTGCATACATTTCCAGCACTGGTCCTTCCCACACACACCTTCAGGTGTTCTCTCAACTACATGGGGGGACCAGGACCTCCCACTGCAGCCCTCTCTGCTCACATTCCCAGCATTGGTCCTTCCCACACTCCACCTTCAGGTGATGCTCTCCCAACTATGTGGGGGGACTGACTAAGACCTCCCACTGCAAGACCTCCCCCAGGGAGGGGTTGCTATGAGTTGGATCTGACTCATCAGCACCTAACAACAATCTATCACCAAGAAAGAAGATCCAGGATTGGAGCATGTACTTTGGACCTGGGGTCCCTACACAGAGAATCTCCTTGAACCAGGAGACACACAGAGATAAAGCCTTCCCTAGAGTTACCACTCCTGAATCCAGACTTCCATCCTCCTAAACTGTGAGAGAATCAATCTGTTTGTTAAAGACAGCCATTTGAAGTATTTGTTATCGCAGCACTACATAACTAAGACATCATGATTCATGTCTGCCTAACTTAGTAACAGAGGAAAGTTAAGGGCATGTGGAATCCCTGAGATTAAGTTAGACTCTACTTTTTATTCTAATAAAACCATTCTGCAAGACTTCCCAGCCTTCAATTTTTATTACTTCCTAGTTGACACTGAAAATAGTGGTTTGTGTGTCATCACTCAACACCAACTCTTTCATGCAAGTTTCCTCTTTGAGTGAGTGTTCAGGCCCTTGGTACCAAGGTTATCTTCCACTCCCCTATCATTCCCAGGAATGTTATAAGGACAGCATCTGATTGCACTTGAAAGGGCACAGTCCATTCTGAGTATCCTAACTCCTGCTAAGAGGTCAAAGGAAGGCTTTTCAACACTAGTAATATTCATGGTTGTCACGGACATGCACTGGTAGACGTGTTAGTGGGCAGATGAATCACTCGGGATGTGGCAGTGCTGACTAGGGGGTTTTCAGTGATAGTCAATGGATGACAGATGGCTAGAGGGCCAATGAGTGGTTCACAAGACCCTTTTGGCTGCATGACCCTTATTAGCACCACCTGGACACTGGGAATAAGGTCTCCTCTTGGGACACAGAAAATGTCAGCCATAGCAAGCAGCCAACAGGTCATAAAGCATCCTGAAGGCCTTTTCACTACATGTCATTGGAGGAACTTGACCCCAGTTAAGTTGACCTTGGAGGAACTTGACCCCAGTTAAGTTGACCTGTCACCTTTCCCTGCTAACCCAAGAGTAGGACATCTCAGCACAGATGGAATTACCAGCTTTACCTAAGAATAATGTTCACCCTTGCAAGAAGAGCTTAGAATACGCTATCTGAAACTGGGCTCTACTGAGGTATAAAATTCAATCCTAGAGACCACCCAGTTAGGACCTGTCCTCAGATGGGCAGCCTGGTCAGCTGGGTATGCGACGATGACTACAGAGTGCCCACTCATCAGCACTATCATTAGTAACCTTGCAAACAAACCACTGATTAACAACTGTGCCTCCAGACCCTCCCGACTCATCTCTGGCAATCTCAAACTCTTGGTCTGTGTTGCCCTGAAGACCCTCCACTTCACTCAAGATCCCTGAACACCACACATGGTTTTAGAAATGGCAGGTTCCGGGTCTTGCTACTAGAAATTCAGATTTGATGCGATGGGTTAACTCTGGTAATATGCAGTTTCAAAACACAGGCCAGGTAATTTTGACACAAGTGGTCAACAGGCCAGACTTTGAAAGCCACAGCTTGGTCATTTGCCTTCTATTAAACAAGGCCTGGTAGAAGACTTTCCCACACCAATTATTCATAGGGTTTCTCTCCTATGAGTTTTCTCATGTTGAATAAGGATGTGTCATAACTCAAAGTTTTTCCACGTTCAGTATGTTCATAGGGTTTCTCTCCAGTATGAATTCTCTGATGTCTAGTAAGTTGGCACCACTGGCTAAAGGCCTTTTCACAATGGTTACATTCATAGGGTTTCTCTCCACTGTGCCTTCTCTCATGTTTAGTAAGGGTTGACTGGTCATGAAGGCTATTCCACAGTCAACACATTCATAAGGCTTCTCTCCAGTATGCATCCTCTGGTGTTCGTTAAGGTACCGATCTCTGACTGAAGGCTATCACACACACACACACACACACTACACTGGTATAGTTTCTCTCCAATGTGTTCTCTGATGCACAAAGAGGGAGGACCTCTGGCTGAAAGCTTTGCCGCAATGATTGCTTTTGTAGGGTTTCTCTCCAGTATGGGTTTGCTGACGCACAACAAACTGAGATTTCTGACTAAAGGACTTCCCACAGTCTTTACATCCATATGGCTTTTCTCTGGAGTGAATTCTCTGGTGGGAAAGGAGGTGAGAGCTCCAAGTGAAGGCTTTTCCACACTGACTGCATTCAAAAGGCTTCTCTCCAGTATGAGTTCTCTTATGCTCACAAGGGCAGAGCTCTCTGCAAAGGTATTCCCACACTGCCTGCATTTATATGGCTTCTCTTTGGTATGAATTCGGAGATGCCTAATAAGTCTTGGGCTTCGAATGAAGGTCTTTCCACACTGGTTACATTTGTATGGTTTCTCTCCAGTGTGAGTCCTTTGATGGGTGATGGAAGTCAGAGCTTTGGCTGAGGACTTTCCACAATGAGCACACTCATAAGGTTTCTCTCCAGTATGAATTCTTGATGTACAATGAGGTTAGAGTTCCACCTGAAGGACTTCCCACACTTGCGACATAGATATGGTTTATCTTCAGTATCAGTTCATTGATGCCTAGTAAGTTTAGAACTCTGGCTGAAAGATTTCCCACACTGGCTATATTCATAGGGGGGGCTCTCCAGTATGAGTTCTCTGATGTACGATGGGGTCATAGCTCTGGCGGAAAGATTCCCCACAACGATGACACCCATAGGACTTTTCTCCATTGTGTGTTCTCTGGTGTACAACAAGCTTGGGGCAACAGCTGAATGATTTTCCACACTGATTACACATATATGGCTTCTCTCCACTCTGAATATTAGTTAATAAAAGACGAAGCCCCATGGAAGGGATCCCAGTCCTCTCCACATCAGAACAGTGCTTCTCCAAGGTCACTTCCTACCACTGGTTCAAGGCATGACCTTTCGGAATAGGCTTTCTGGCATCCGTCATACTCAAACTGACTGTGCCCAGACTGCATCGACTCGTGTCCACTCAGAGACATACTGTGGTTAAAGAAGTTCCCAGAGTCCTTATGTTCATGGCTATTCTCTCCTGAAAAGATTCCAGTGTGAAAATGGAGGTCATTACCACAGCTGAAAGAGTCACCACTGACAGGACATTCATAAGGTTCACTTCCTGTTTCAAATCTTGCCAGTTTATTCAAGTAAATGCCTTGAGAAAATCTTTAGCACTTTGATGATCTTTGCAGCGCTTCTGGCCTACTGGGCCATTCTGATGATTAATGAAAACAGAATCCTCTTTCAGCCTTTTAACCTGTGAGTAGGGCTTGTGCGTTCTTATAGGTAATGTTTATGGTAAAAGGCTTAAACTCAAAGTGTAACCTCCTCTGAGTTCAAGGTCACAGTGTTCCCTATGAGCAAACAGTCTCTCTGAGATGAGAAACGTTTCACACACAGAGTCCTGCTGGTGTATCCTCGGCAGGTCACTCCAGTCGCACTTCTCGCATTAGCTCAGACCTGGGGCCTTCCTCCTGAGTGCAGCATTTCCTCTCCACACTATGGAATGGTTTTTCTTCTGCAGTGCTCTCCTTGGAAGCTGGCTCTTCTTTTCTAGTCTGAAAGAGATCCAAATGTCTGAATTACTGAAGGTCTTAGAGAGCTGGGTGGTGGGAGGAAGGCAATCACCAAGTAGAGAGTACGGTTCCAGTCTGTGCAGGGTGTGGGAGGGAAGGACAGGTCAGCAAAAGGAAGTAAGCTGTAAAGTGTACAAGATAAACAAAGATAATAAAGAGATGGCTCAGGAGGAGAAGTGAGCAGAGGAATAAGCAGTGGGGTGAAGACTAGAGAGAGTAGTGGACCTTCTAAGCATAAACACTTCAACATACCATGCTTAGATCACAAAACAGGATCTGTTGTGAGTAAAGTAAAGGTCCCCAAAAGATATCCGTGCCCCAATGCACAGAGACAGAGCTCTGGTGGCACAGTGGTTAAGGCATTTGGCTGTTAACAAAAAGGTTGGCAGTTCATATCCACCAGCCAATACGTGGCGGAAAGATGTGGCAGTCTGGAAACCCTTTTGGAAGTTCCACTGTGTCCTGCAGAGTCACTTTTTGTTGTTGTTATCGTTACATGCCGTCGAGTCGGACCCGACTCATAGCGACCCCTCCTTGGGTTTCCAAGGCAGTATCACTATGGAAGTAGATTGCCCCAGAGTCACTCTAGGGTTGCTATAAGTTGGCATTGACTCAACGGCAATGAGTTTGTATTTTATTTTAATCCCTGGAACCCAGGAATGTGACCTTACTTGGGAAAAAAGTCTTTACAGATGTGTGATAAAGTTCTTGAGATGATGAGATTACCCTGGATTAGTTGGGTGTGCCTACATGCCACCACAGTGTCTTTATAAGATGGAGACAGAAATTTCACACAGAAGAGAAAGTCATGTGAAGACGGAATGGAGAGTGATTTGAAGATGCTGGCCTTGAAGACTGCAGTGATGGGGCTACAAGCCAAGGGATGCCCATAGTCATCAGAAGCTGCAAGAGATAAGGAATGGCTTCCTCCCTAGAGCCTCCACAGGGAGTGCGGCCCTGATGACACCTTGATTTTGGTTCAGTGACACTGATGTCAGACTTCTGGCCTTCAGAGTCCTAATTGTGAAGACTAATTTGTCTTGTTTTCCATCACCTAGTTGGTGATAACTAGTTATACCAGCCACAGGGAACTGATTATGAAAACAAACAAACAGACTCAAATCAGCTGCCACTGAGTGATTCCAACTCATGCTGATCTGAGGTGTCAGAGCAGACCTGCCCCACAGGGTGTTCAAGTCTGGTATTTTTTGGAGGCAGATCATCAGGCCTTTCTTCCACGGCACCTCTGGGTTGGTTCAAAACACCAACTTTTTGGTTAGTACTTGAACACATTACTGTCTGTGCCACCCAGCTACTCCTTCATGAAACTCCTATAGGATCCTAATTTGTGCCTTGTCCTAGATCATTGATCTCAGGCTCCCCAGAAACACACTGCAGTTCCTGAAGTAGCACACTCAGCAAGACTGGGTGCCAACTGGCTTCACAGTCTAGTGACTTCCACAGAAGTCCTGAGTTCCTCTGGACCTCAGTGGTCCTTAGCTGTAAGCCACAAATAACAATACTTGGTTTAGGAGGTACAGACAACAAAGATGAACCATTTTGCATATACAGTACTGCGTTGTCAGTGAAGGCAAACATGAGTATATGGGTGGATAGATGGGTGGACAGACTAAACTATTAGGTATGCCTAAGAAGTGGGAAGTGTACCCTAGACTATGTATATGGTTGGCAGACAATGGTCTTATAAGTGTATTTGTATGATCTATAAGAATTCCCAGGGGTATTAGTAGAGCTGACAAGGGACACAGTTGTAGTCACTTCTTGGTCACAGCCAGCTACCCAGAGTGAACAAGTAGTTGAACTGGTGGGCTCAGGACCACAGTCACAGGGGACATCAAGCTCAATTGGCATAACATACTACAAAAAACGTTGTTCCACCTCCTACTTTGGCGAGTAGCGACTGGGATCTTAAAAGCTTGCAAGCGGTCATCTAGGTGCAACAATGGGTCTCTCCTCATCCAGAGCAAAGAAGAATGAAGAAAACCAAAGATTCATGGAAACAATTAGTCCTAGCAACTGGTACACCATGTGACACTCAGCCTGTGTGTCTATGAGATGGTGCCCAGCTACCACTGTCAACCACTCGGAGGAGGATCTATGTGGGAGATCCTGGATAGAGAGGGAGAACAATGTGGAACAAAACTCAAAATCATCTGGGGGGAAAAAAAGAAAGGGGGATCAGGTTTGCTGGTCTGATAGAGCCTAGTGGTACCCCTGAGACTATGGCCCCTAGCTGCCCTTCAAGTCTAAAATTGAACCCACACCTGTGGCTTCTAGCCAAATAAAAGACAGGCATGATTTGAACATTTACCTGAGGTAGATACACCCCTTGGAGAGATCAATCATGGGAGAAAGAAGGGCTATTTATGCACAGGGAAACAGCTCAGGGGGCAGAAGTGCATGGAGGGATGGGACACAGGGAAGAGGTAACTACTGAGAGGAAGTGGGAGGGGAGTTGTTGCACTGTGGTAAATTGTAGTTAATGTCATGAGACAAATTGCATGTGAAAGTGCATGGAAAGTGAATTTGCTCATAAACTTTCACCCAAATCACAATAAAAAAACAACAACAACAACAATACTTGGTTTACAAGATTGACTTTGAGGGTCAAATGAATGCATACATTAGCTTAGCAATGTATGGCACACGGTGTGGTTTCAACAGATGGTGCTGTCCATCTTGTTACCCTTGTCGTTATCTGAGCGTCCTCACTGTGAAGACAGCAGTCCTCTGATGATGTGACTGAGCACCAGGCTCCTAGCTCAGGATACTCATTCAGATTCTCCTTTAGTTGTCACCCACCCATTTGGGTCTTGCAGCCACCCATCTAGTGCTATTAAGTTCCTCTGCTTAAGTGCCCATGGTCTCCTCTCTGTATCTATCAGGGGACAAGGACCTTTTACTGTGAAAAGCAGTAACTCACTGATACATTCCAATTGTGGTGTTTGCAAAGAATACTGAATATACCATGGACTTCCAGAAGAATAAACCAAAAAGTCTTGGAAGAAGCACAGCCAGAATGCTCCTTAGAAGCCAAGAGACTTCAACTTGCTTACTTTGGACGTGTCATCAGGAAGGGCAATCCCTGTAGAAAGACATCATGTTTGATACAGAAGATGGTCAGTGAAAAACAGGAAGACCCTCAATGAGATAGACTGACACAGTGCTGCAACGATGGGCTCACACACAGCAATGATTATGAAGATGATCCAGCACTGGGCTGTGTTTTGTTCTGTTGTACACGGGGTTGTTGTGTGGTAGAGCTGAGTCAACAACATCTAAGAACAACAACAAAACAATGTCTGGGCATCATTTGACTTTAGGAACACACATCCCAAACAACAAATCTCTGTGCCTCATGGGCCAAATCACTATTACCTACATCTCCTTCCCTGTCCCTCAGCAACACCCACCCAGTGCCATCTTGTTCCCAAGCTCTGCTGTGTTCCTCTAGGGAGCTGCCTCTGAATCCCTGATGGCAAGAATTTTTAAGTATAAATTAATGTCCCACTAAAGGCGAGTCAAGAGGCCTGTGGAGATGAGGAGAAAAGAAGTCTTTGGGTGGCTGGCTGTTAAAAACCAGGCCAAGGAGGTTCAACAAACTGCATCAAGGTTTTCCTCAGGACCATGAAACAAGGAAACTAGGCCTCAGCTGGGCAGTTAGGAAGCCATGCCTATGCCAGACGAGAAGCAGCAAACTGAAGTCAGAATGGCAACATCTGAGGTATGACGTGAGGCACACGGCCTCTGGTGGCTGAGGTGGATATCAAGGATAGTTAATGTAGGTGAAACTTCAGAGAAAAAGAAATCACAGCGGCTGCAGGAGAAACTAGAAGGAAGACTAGACCATCTACTCCTGTAAAGATTTATTGCCTTGCAAATTCAAGGGGCCGCTATGAGTCAGAAGCAACCTGATGACAGTGGGTTTAGTGTTTTCTTTTTTGGGACAGGAGTTGTAGTTACAGGAAGCAGGAAGGAAAAAACAAACCTGCTGCCTAAGAGTCGATTTCAACTCCCGGTGACCCCATGTGTCACGCACAACCGTGCTCCAGAGGGCGTTCTCTGCTGTGGTCTTGACAGAAACAGAAGGCAAGCCTGTCTTCCATGCCGCTGCCAACTTTCAGGTAAAGAGGGACCGTGGGAGCAGGAAGCGGAAATAAATTCGATTCCTCCAGTGAGGAAGGTCAGTGGTTGT